TCACACATGTCTAATTAATGTTGTTATGTGTCAATTATCATTATCATTATCATCACTTGAATCATAATATTCATATTAGTTTCTACGATAAGAATAATGGTCAATAATAAGGATGCAAATATCCAGCAATTATCTAGTATCCGGCCTATTTAGCCACTTTTTTACAATCCGGCTATCCGGTTAAACTATCCGGGCGGTAAACAAATCCTACTTAAGATGGAAACAATTATCCTTAGTCGATAATATTTTTGTCCCAATTTGAGATTAAATCAAAGAAAGATAATGCCTGTGAGAGCCGAACACTGGATGTACGCGTGTAATGATTATTCAATCAATATAATATGCAATAGACATTTCGATCCTACTGCGGATTTTTCTCAATATTGCAAAACAACCATTAAAAAATTTACAATTAAAAAATTTTTGAGTGGTTATACAATTAAAATAAAATTAAAAAACCGAATTATGCGACATGTGACTGTGTTTTGCAATGTAGACGTAAGGAATTATGATGTTCAAGCGCATTTTCATTATAATTATCAAGTTAATTATGACAAATTATTAAAATCGTATTAAACAGACATATATAATACATAATAACTGATAAGTTATTAAACTTACATGATAAACGCAGTCACTCAGAGAAAGTGTCAGTTTTATTTTTCGCTATGATCGACGCAATCAAAAACTAAAGAATATACAAAATGTTGACAAATACGGTAAAGAGAGGGAAGCATTAAGTTCTTGTAAATAAATTAGAATATACCGCGTCAAGAAATTCCGTGTCATTTTTCATGTTTAAGCCATTAATTTGTTTCTTTATGAAAATGAGAAATTAAGTCTATGTGAAGTAATAACTGAATGTTGTATCATGTTTCAGTTAATGTCGTTTCTATGTTCTTTAATGCGTGTTTTTAAGATTTTATCTGTTTTTCCCACGTAAAATACGTTACAATTCTTGCAATTTATTCTATATACGACATTTGAATAAGACAGAGTGGGGAGCTTGTTTTTTTGAACGCGGATGATTATGCGTCATACGTAGGTAGAATCTTAGCACGCATTAAAGAACATAGAAACTACATCAACTGAAATACGATATAACATTTAATTATTACTATGCATAGACTTGATTTTTCACACGTATTCGAGTGGAAGAACATAAATATTTTAAATGAAGAAGAATTGTTACATAAAAGGTTGATATCTGAAATGATTTTCATATTTCATGATTCTCATTAGTTTTCATTTATATTTCAATAACAGAAATATACATAGTGTATCAACAAAGATATTATTAATAAAAAATTATTAATTATAAAAATGTAATAATGTATTCCTACCTATATTACGTTTTTAATCATAAATCACTTTTAAGAAATGTTTAACATTAGTTTTTGAAAAATAAACATGTTTTATGCGGTACTCTATTATGTCCCACACGCAAAAAAAATATTTTGCTGCTACAGCTAGAATTATCGCTGTTTTTGTATCTGATAGAAAATTATGTATTGTATCATACATAGAATTTTTATAGCACTAATCTAAATTCTATCTTTGTCATCTATATAATTAAATGCAATACATATCCAATATCGTAGTACTTGCTAGAAAATTATTTATATT